GGAGAACATAAGTTGTGAGGAGGTATCCTTCGTGCCACTTCTTGGAATTTTGTTGATGTCAAATTCTAAATATTCTCATGTTCTCTTGATACTAATTCTCTCTTTCGAATATGTAAATATTTATGCTGTTGGGTTTGTTAGGTAACAATAAATACACAAGAATTGTTGATAAATTTTCTTTATTTTCGCCACTTTTCATATAGTGCAGAACTTGTTGTTTAATCATTTAATTACCAACTTGTGGAATGGCCTTGCTATGCCCGGAATCTTAATCATTTAACCTTGACCCCCTGCGCATTCCTAAACCGTAGTAGATAGGCATGCGCTGTAAATTTTTACAAAGAAAGTAATCAAAGGATAACTAGGCGGGGCACTCACAGTGATGACGTAATTAGTTTTTATGTATCCTTTAATAAGTGTCCCTTAATAAGGGTTTCACTGTACTGTCATTGGAAGAGTACACATATAATATTTTTCTGCTTTGTTTTTGAGCATACGTACATCATTTCAGAGTAACTCACGGACATGTTTCTGCCTTACAATATGATGATAAGTATGATTTATGCACATTCAGGTAATACATGCTGAAGATATGCCTGAACCATTACAAACATTCGGTTATTCATTAAGCGGTGGAATTGATATGGATCAAAATGGATACTCTGACTTATTAGTTGGTGCTTATGAGAACGATGCTGTAGCACTTCTTCGATCAAGGAAAATAATTGATATAACTACTTATATTCGGTACTTAAAAAAAGATGGCACTTATCAAGAAAAGATAGAACCTATTGATCCAAACAAACTCGATTGTCCAGTAGATTCAAGTTCAAATCATACATGGTAAGTATAATTGAATAATGTTTGAAAATGAAGGTTTCATAATTATTTCTTTACAAACAGTATTATTAAATTATTGCAGCTTTTCATTTGAAGCTTGTTGCAAAACTGAATCCCTTGTAAAGAATGAAGACATGCAAAATTTAAAACTAAATTATTATATTGAAGCTGAAACATATACTGGTGTTAAAAAATTCTCTCGAGTTTGGTTTGGTGCTGGAAATTCACGTTTACATTATGTAAATCGTACTGTTATATTAGACATGACAAAATTGGAACACTGCCAGAAAGAAACAGTTTATTTAAAGGTATTTAATATACATATCAGAAATGATGTTTTGATCAAATTCAATATATTCATTAAATATTTACACATTTATTAAAAATTTTATAAGTACTTAAATTTCTTTAGGAAAATACACGCGATATTCAATCGCCTATTAAATTTCGTTTAAACTATTCCTTAATACAAGAAGAACCGATTATGCCTGAGCAAGGTGAACCTTTACCTGACATAAAAAATTTTCCTATATTAAACCAACAAGAAGCTGCTCGTGTATTTGATGCAACCTTTCAAAAAGATTGTGGTAATAATGATATTTGTGAAAGTGATTTACAAGTTCTAGCACGACTAAATTTATCAGGTATATTTTTATAATTATTATAATATATATATATTTTTTAAATTTGTATTAAACATGATTTTGTGTTTATTTTCAAGCTTCTTCTGTGAAACAAAATTTCTACGAACTCCTGCTAGGTGAAGTAGAAGAAGTTGTAGTGGATGTAAATGTATCTAATGTTGGAGAATCTGCATACGAGGCACAATTATTTATTATACATTCTTCAAGCTTAAACTATATTGCTAGTAAAAGCAATGATTCTATAAGTTGCAATATACATAATAGTAGCTTAGTAGCATGTTCTATCGGAAACCCATTCAAGAAAGATAAATTGGTAAATATACAAGTAAGATTTGACCCTAAAGGATTAGAAGATAATAAGTCGCAATTGGAATTTGTAATATTTGCAAATTCGACTTCAAAAGAAATGAAAGACAAAGAACCTGTAACATTACAAGCAATGGTGTTGAAACGAGCTGAATTATCAATTAAAGGGTATTTTTTTTTTATTTTCAATTTATTATAATAACAATGATTAAATATTATAAAATATAATTACAACCATGCATAAATTACAAAAATGGTAGGACCACGAAAATTCAGTCGCCCTATTATGGTGGACCAGTTATAGGAGAGTCAGCTATAAAACATTTAAATGAAGTAGGGCCTAAAGTTTCTTATATTTATGAAGTATTTAATGAAGGTCCATGGCGAGTAAGTAGCTTAGAAGTACGTATTTCATGGCCTTATGAAGTCGCAAATGATAAAGCCCATGGTAAATGGCTTTTATACTTAGAAGAACTGCCAACTATACAAGGTAATACATTGTTTTATACTGACATATTCTACAACAATATATATTTATTTTATAAATTGTACTTTTATTGTTAGTATCAGGTGCTGGTGAATGTATACTACCACCAGGACATGTGGTAAATCCATTAAAGTTGCAGAATAATATCAATGATGATATTGATGTTTTCCAGTCTACACTGTCTACTCCTACGTTACATAATCATACGAATCACATGAGAACGAAACGTGATACCGAAAAAGTTGTTAATACACGAACTATTATTGGTAAAGATGGCCATAGACGTCAAGTCGTTTCAATGGTGAGTAATAGCAATTATTACATTCAAGCAATGGAATGTAAATGTCCTATTAAACAAATTTATTTAATTTTACATAAACATTATAGAACTGTAAAGCTGGAACTGCAAAATGCTTTGATATTACATGTTTCATATATAATTTACAAAGGAAACAACATGCTTCCATAACTGTTAAAGCAAGGTAACAATTTAACTATTCTATATTAAACAAGTATAGGTGTGTATATATATACATATTGTTTTTTCTTGATCAGATTGTGGAATTCTACTTTAGTAGAAGATTATCCAAAAGTAGATGAAGTAAGAATAGGTTCTAATGCAAAAATAGTTATTCCACCCAATATTGTGATACAACAAGAAAATTTGAAAGATGATTATGCAATTGTAAGTATTTTTTGTTATTAATTTTAGACGTAAAGTTAATCTCTATTCTAAAATTTGTATAACATTTTGACGTTCACAGGCTGAAATAATTGTATATCCTAACCCTCTTGATCACCAAGATGAACCAGTTCCAATTTGGGTAATCACAATAGCAGTAGTAGCAGGTTTGGTACTACTTATTCTACTTACTTTAGTTCTTCGAAAATTGGGATTCTTTAAAAGGCGACGACCAGATCCCACATTGTCAGGAAATCTTGAAAAGCACAAAGATGATAATCCAGAAAGTGAAGCATTATTCAAACGCTAAACGCCACAACACAAATACTTAAATTGTCATATTTACTTATGCTTGAAGTACTTATAGTAAACAATATTAAAATATTAAGCACCTAGAAGGAAAGAAATATACCGTGTAACATTTAAGTATTTAAATGCAAAAAGTTTTGTATCCATATTGTGATATGTTAACTTATCCGTAGCTATTTATGTTGCTGTTAAGAAAAACATAAAATGTCAGCTCTTCCAGATTCTTCTCATTTTCATATATATAAATTCCCTTTTCATTTTTTCTGTCTTTGGAATGTGTATTGTATAATCCGTATTTTTGTCCCTTTTATTCATCTCTAAAGTTTTATTTCCATTTTTTTTTAACCTTAAAGGTTTCTTCTCCCCTATTTGAATTTCTCCAATTTAGCCTTTATTTTTCTACGTATATTCAAATTTTGTAAATTTTTAAATTATTCCTTTTTATACTCAAATTGTTCAAGACTGTTTGCATCGTTTTCATATAACTTATATTCCTTGTTTTTATTGTTTCTGAGGCTACAATTATGAAAAGTTATTGCATTGTTTGCTCCAATTTTTATTGTAAAGATTAATTTTTTAAGTAATTGACTTACCAAGACTTACAACTGATGATATATGTAATCTACTAAGATTTACTCTCACATTGTAGTTATTTTTTTTTCTCATTTTTTTATTTTGACTAGATTTCCACGTTTACTTTTGAACAACATTAAACTATTTAATATTTTCATCATATTTTTTTTTAATATCGAATTTAAAACGTGCCTTTAAGATGTTATAATATCATCTTGTTATTTGTGAATAATGTTATGCATTATGTATATAAAAACTGTTATATACTAAATTGCATAAGAATTTGAAATTATAAGGAAGTACTTAAAATTTATAGGTTTATTAAACAGATGCTTGTTTAATCATTATAAATATTACATATTATTTGTATTATTACTTTTATAATAATACACATTCCTCAGAATTACTATAAGCTACAATGTACTGATAATAATTGTATATAAGAAACTCAAAATGTTTGTCACTTTACATAATTTACATGTGATTAAAAATATAAACAAATATATCAAAAAACAATCTCTTTTTTACTGTAACTAAGTAAAATAACGGTTAAATGCAATCAATACTTTATGTTGTATTCAGTCATCAGCAAGCAAATGTGACTACAATTACGTTGTTAATACTAAAACAGTGTGCATCATATCTATCAGCAACCCATTTGGTACTGCTGGCAAAAATGAAATAGTGTCTAGTAAAATATATTTACACTATTGAGAAATAAAGTGAAATATATGTTCTGACAATCTTTTTTTTTAATATTATTTCTAAGCTAAACATCATTTGATTAATAAAATATAATTATGTATTTTAAATATAAAATTTGTTTATAAAAGGAATATATAACAAATATTTTTATATTTCTATAGTTCACTTCATTTCTCAATTATATATTAACATAATTAAATTGTATTTAATTTTAACTTATATACAAACAGGTTGCGCTTACAAATTGTAAGAAATATCTATGCTTTAATATATTATTTATATTTTTATAAGCAAGTACTTTAAGAAAAATTGAAGACATATACTCCTTATTTTATAATTTGTATTTTTATGATACATTTTTATAATGTAATCCTTTTAATATTCAATAAAGAGATACTATGTTATTATTGGAATGAAGATTTGTAAATAATCGACATTTATTTAAAATATATTAATCACAAAACTAAAAGAGCAGCATATGAATATAACTTAATGAAATTTTTAATGAATATGGTGATCAATATCTAATGTCAATTTGCTGTAGTATGTGTTCAAATAAGAACAATCTGCTATCATAAATCTAAAAATTACATATTTAAATATAAATAGGAGATTAAGCGGAATATAAATATTTTGATTTGATTCATAACATTATACATACCTATATAACAAAACTGCCAGTGGAACTGTACTAGCATGCCACAAAGAATGAGCATCAAATATCCAAAAAATTGGTGCAAAATCTGCCACTTCCAATATAGTAACAAGGACCGTTAATATGTTAAACCAACCAATTAAATAAATATAATGTAACTTTTTACGATTCCGGTGCCACCATGCCATTGTTAAAATGAATGTTAAAAATCCTGTAATAATTTTTATGTTTACAATTTTGATATCATTTCAATTAAAGTAATAATAAATATTACATTACCTATAACTACATTAAATTTCATATTATAATCATAATTGATATAGCCAGACCATAAATGAGATAAATGTGTATACAAAATACCTAAATAACCACATGTAATCACAGCAAATAGTTTATTATTTTGATATGTGATTCTGAAATTAAAAGAACAAAAATGCAGATTAAATTAAATTTTTGATTAACAATATGTTCCACCATATTATATGGATTACCTTAACAACATAGAGTACAATAACGTGAGTACCATAATAAATGCACAAGAATAATCCATTACTTCCGTAAATGAAGTATCTCTAGCATGGAAAATAGATGACCAAAACCAACCATGTATACATATCTAAAATTATATCTCTTGATATTATTATAAAAATAAAATAAATATTTACATGATAATAAAATAAATCATATTATACAAAAAGTATGAAGATATATATACCAAACTAAAATAGGACCATATATAAAACATAGGATAAGTAGAATCAACTTTTCTTTTAAATTTCCAATACATGGTAATGTGAATATAAAAATTTAATATAGAAAATATAACAGATGCAGGTTCTTGACATCCAAAAATACGAATAAATGGCCACTGCAATAAAAATGACATATTATTTGTAAAATATAATACTTATTGCTATTTCTTTAAAATTGCATACCTTTCCATGAAACTGAGGAACTTTCAAACCATGAGAAATGAAATAATCAACTGTTTCCCAAGTACAACTATAACTGCAGTCTTCTTTACAAGACCAAAATAGCAATCTTAATGATAAAGGAGGTTCAACTTTAAAATTTTTATCTGTAAAGTATTAATTAAAATATTAATATAAAATGTTTTATTAAAGTATGTAATAACACAACCATTTAAATATTTTCAAAGCACATATAACCAAAATCTATTCTTGACACAAGTAATATGATGTTACCTCTCCTAAGCAAAACTTGAAGAATAATTAATTTTTTACTTATAAAAGATTAGATTTACAACAACTTTATCCAGTATAAGTATTAATATCTAAAGGTTCTATCATAATAAATGTAATATATTGAACAAAATATATACCAGTATTGCAATTATTGTCACGACATTTTGCTAGGCACAAATTGTAAAATTGTGATCTGTCTCCTATTGAAGCAACTGTATTTGAAATAAAAAATATGTGAAGTACTAATACGGTCTTCCATCGTAACTCCACCATGCTTTGCTCGTACTGTCATATACTGTACAACGTAGCTTAAACTAATTGTTATGAAACCTTATCAATGAAAGAACGTTTCACTGATCTAATAAAATTTCAGACCTATTATCATTATCATACTAGGGATAAAAATGGAGAAAGAAATGTCTAACTCCTTCTTTCGCTAATATTTACAAGATTCAATACTTTACAGTGCAATTTTAATTTAAAAATGTTATGTCGTATAAAAAACATAACTCGTGACTCTAATTTCGCGCATTTACTATAATGTCAACATCGATTACAGATGTTGAGATAGACTCAGCTAACTTCAGTAGACTCCCTACCATGGTTGTTTCCAGCGAGCTTTAATCATTTTTTCATCTTTTGTGCAAACAGGACACACGGTCACTCATTTCTAGATAGATGATTCCTATTATAGTTTGATTTTGGTACAATGTCAATATTTCACGTCATCTAACACAAAGACCTATTGAAAAGAAGTTCGAGCTCAAATTCTCATCAAGTAATTAATTTTAGTTTATAGTATCTCTGAAAATAATAAAACTATATTATAGAAATGAGAAGTCGCAACAAGAATATATTGCAATATAAAATTTATCGATAGGGGGAATAGCTGGCAACCGGCTGTCTACGATTCAGTACAACAAGCAATGACGATAGGTATAAGGTGCACGCCTGGTCACCGTGGTGACGGGTATCCAATCAGAACATATCTCATTTTTCTTTAGTTTACGATAACTACGCGTATGTTTATATTGTCCAAGTGATTCCTTCTTTATTCGCTCAAATTTATGATGGCACGGACGCTTATTTGTTTACGGTATTTACTCATCGGTGGTGCTATTGTCGTGGCTGTAAGTGCATATTATTCCCTTGACTCTATACAAGTTCCATTGTTTACCCGCCACGGATCAAAACTTGAAATTATAATCAAAATAATTAATTTAATTCAAGTTAATTGATTCAATAAATTATTGTGATTTTTTTGGTTGTTTGGTGTCATTCTATTATTAAGAGCGTAGCAGTTGGTGACCAGTCTCCGATTTCTTGCAGAATTGGACACCCGCCAACTATCTTGTTAATGCATGATTTCGATTTTTTAATGATCTTTTTCCTTGTTTCAAACTTCCTATTTTCAAATATAGTTCAGTAATTCTTTTATAGCATTACATTTTATCGTTCTTATTTAAACAATAAAAAATAAAATATTCGTTCGAACGATCGAAGTTAAAGATAAGTATTCATTCTGATGTGATTGATTCTTTACATTAATCTTTTTATTAAAATATGCATTGTTAATTTAATTATATTAACAAGCAAAGATAAATATTTACTATTATAAATATTATAACTTGCCAAACATTAATGCACCTGTTATGCGCGCATATTTCTATCGTCAGTTTTTCGTATCAGTTTCTCACATACAGCCATAAGTCCTTGTTATCGATAACAGGTTTATCTACCACATCGATAGTATCAGATTACATGATACATTTGATATAACTTTACTGTACAAAAAGAGATCATTTTAATCTTTGATTGTCTAACCGATACATAATTCGCAAAATAATGTACTACTTTTTCGTGTTCATGTTTTGATATTTTTTAAATACACAATATAGATAAATGTATGACAATTAATCAAACAAAATTATTTAAAATATATAAAGACAAGGAACATGATTTTTGTTTGCGATAAATGACTAAAAGTTAAAAAGAGTAAAATGTAATAATATAATGCTATTTATAAGAAAATTTAAATACTTCGTTTAGGTTGGTTCCGATTGGTTCTAACACGCTGTGTAACCAAAGATAATGCGTAAGCGCACTTATTACAACCATGCGCTGAAAGCGTGTACAGTTACAGTAGTTGTTTATTTAGTTTATAATTTATTTTTTCTTTTAGAAACTAAACACAAATAAAAGCTCAGTAGAGCTATAACCGTTGCTAACATCGGAGAATTTTAAAAATCTTCAACAGTAGTATCAGAAGTCAGAATTTTTTAAGATTCGATGCAACTATTTATTGTACTTGTTACCGAATGTTATGTCTTGAGAATATTGTTTTCGTGAATGACATAAAAATTCCTTTTTCTTATTTATAGGTGTGCGGTGTTATAGAGAGCATTTGTGCAAGTTATTTCATATATCAACTATATGAATATTCATTCCTTACTCCCAGTAATGTATGCGGTTCAGCGATAACGTTGCTATTGATGGGTCTGATAACGTGTATGATAGGCTGGTGTGCTTGGCAATTCTTAGATTTCACGAATACTGGTCAAGTCATAATTGTAAGAAATCTTAAATTATTGTTTATATTAAATCGATACTTCATGTCCATTTTTCATATATATATATTCAGATTTAAATTCGCTTAGAATGCAACCATTCCTAAATATTTCTATTTTAAAAAGTCGTGTGCCATTTTGTAATTTGAAGTTTCGTACTCGAGATATAAGCAGTTAAAAGTTGATAGATATCTAGTCTTAGAAATATTAAAACGAAAAGAGGATCACAATTTCGAACTCATCAATTTATTCATATACGATAAAACATCATGAAATTTTCTCATTTAGTTTTCCATAGCTCTAACTATTATAACGATCACCAATACGAGTGCAGGAATTTGGACGCTTATTAGACATGAACAGGTAGATCTGTTACCAGCTGCAGATATTGAACAGATATTCCAACGTGCCGTTTCAGACGATAAATCTGTTTGGGATCACATGCAATCCAAGGTATATTCCATTAATTAATTTATAAATAAAGATTTCTTTCTGAAAAATTTTGTAATAATTTATTAACGCATGTGGTGAACTCTCGTTATATGACCGCCATTTATATGGCTAGTGAACAATTTTTACCTACGGGTTTCTCACGAATATTTTGGACAAATACAATTATTTATTCAACGATGACTAACTGCTTGAATTATAAAAATTAGGATTAGAATTAAATTTTCATTCAACTGTTTTAGTTGCAGTGCTGTGGAATAAACGGACCAACTGATTATCATCGCCAAGATGCAATTCCCTGGTCTTGTTGTGATACGACGTCAATTGCAAATACTAGCCATAATAAAGGTGTATGTACTACGATGTATGCAAGAGGTTGCCAACATATAGTACTGAACCGTACTAGATCAATCTTACTTCATATTTTCTTACTTGCGCTATGTACAGTGTTATTACAGGTAAAGAAATTTTCTATATTATTAATTTTACTTCATCCATTTGTACCCGGTAAAGTCAAATCTAGGAATTTTAGTTTTTTGGAAAAACGTAATTTAATGAAGAATGAAACTGAGATTTTTATCATCATGTTACTTATAGGTTTGTTTCGTTATATGCATGTGCTGCTACGTAAAAGCTTGTCGTGAAAGATTAGAAAGAAGAAAGGAATTGATGAGCATTTCGCAATTATCTGCACGAGCATCAAAAGATTTAGGAACAAATGATAATCTTCTTAGCCAACAGTTGAAATATTCCAAAACAACGCCCGATATTTGACTATTAATGTTGCGAAATATTTATAAGAAATCATTGTATTTCGCTGTGCGTTATGCATCTACATTTTATTTTCATCATAAAAATACGTATTTTATACCGGTACCTTATTTTAGGACCTTATATTCGTATGTAAAAATATTCAATATCACAACAAATGCCAATATCATTAGATGTTATATAATATTTTTATCAAATGTCATACCAGTTAATATTCTGCCATTTTAATAAACACAGAGTTCCTTAATTGAAGGATAAGTTATAATTAAATATATGTTATACATATATATATAAATAAATTAATAACGAATAAGTAATTTTTTAAACATAATAACAATAATAACTGATACAAAAAACATGATTTTTATTACTGTATATAAATTTATATGATTTTACTATAATTGAAATAAATATTTATAATATTGTGTATCAATTATGGTACCTATGTAACTCTAACATGATATAAAATTATAATCTTTACATAACTACATATACTAACATAATGATATATATTCTATATTACAGAATATAGGAGATATATGAAATAAAAGAACAACATTTTTAAACACTGAGTGTAATAGACATTGTTATAGCCCATTCAACAAGAAACATATTTAAATTGCAGATCTCCGCTAACTTCAGTAGATTCAGTTCCAATTAAAATTATATTACTATGATTTGTCTTCGACTTGATTAGTCATAATAGATACTAAGCAAAAATGTATGAACAAGAGGAAGAACCAATAATATAAAAAGTACATAAAATAAAAAATAGTACGTAAAATAGTTGTGCGTTGCTCTTGGTTATCAACAGTACTCGAACCAATTAGAGCCAACATGCATAGGCGAACGAAAATTCATGCAAATTGTCTTGCGGAATGGACTATACAACGCATGCGTGTTACTCTTGGTTACGAATCGTACCATTAGCGCTGACATGCGCAGTATGAACATGAACTTATTGTTCGGTAAGTATGATCCAAGTTAGATTTGATGTGGACCGAAATAATTATTGCATAGTATACGATTTTTCTTCTTTGTTTCAGTGCCATATACATATTATTTATACCGTATTTGTTTTATGAATACGAAAAAAAGTGGTATTTTCATTTGTTGGCAAAATATTTATGATAATATGAAATGTATATAAAATGTTAGTCAAACTAAAGCTCCAACCCGCGTAAAATTAAAGTAAAGTCACCTATCATCAGAGAAAAATAAATAACAAATTCAAAATGCCTTGTGAAGTGATAACCTTACAACTTGGCCAATGTGGCAATCAAAGTAAGTAATTGTTATTAACATTTAGAATAAAGTGTTTACCCTTTTATTATTGATTAACAGGTATAACCAAATACTGTATTATCATATTTAACGTTTTTAACATTTTCTTTTTACTGATTGAATATCAGTTTATACCTATACATAATGTTTTATTACAAAATAAACTACTGTATTTAGAAATATTCTCTATGTATTAAAAATGTAACAATTTCTGATATATGTAGATATCAAATTTTTTAATGTAGTTCCTAATTTCATGTTCCCAGTTGGATTTGAATTTTGGAAGAAATTGTGTGCAGAACATGGTATTAGTCCAGAGGGAATTTTAGAAGATTATGCGATTGAGGGAACAGATAGAAAAGATGTATTTTTTTATCAATCAGATGATGAACATTATATACCAAGAGCAGTATTATTAGATTTAGAACCTAGAGTAATTCATACAATTATGAATTCTCAATACTCAAAGGTATGTTTTATTCTATTGACATATACATTACTATAAATGTTTCAACTATTAAAATTATAAATTTTTTTAATTAATTAGTTTTGTACAATAAATGAGTATATCCTGTTTTATACCAGTTATATAATCCAGAGAATATTTTTTTATCAAAACATGGGGGTGGTGCTGGAAACAATTGGGCATCTGGTTATCATCAAGGAGAGAAACTTCAAGAAGAAATTTTTGATATTTTAGATAGAGAAGCTGATGGAAGCGACAGTTTAGAAGTAAGATTATTAATGTTTTGACTGATACTTCTCCTTTAAATATTTATCATGTTGCTATATTTACAGGGTTTTGTTCTGTGCCATTCCATCGCAGGTGGTACAGGTTCTGGCATGGGTTCATTTATGCTCGAATCTTTGGCAGACAGATTTCCAAAGAAATTGATTGAAACATATAGTGTTTTTCCAAACCAAGATGAAATAAGGTAGTTATCTGAAATATATTATACCATAATAACGTTTAATTATAATAAAAAAATTTGTTTCAGTGATGTAGTAGTACAACCATACAACTCATTATTAACTCTGAAGAGATTAACACAATGTGCAGATTGTGTTGTTGTTTTAGATAATACTGCACTGAATAGAATTGCTTCAGATAGACTGCACATTCAAAATCCTAGTTTTACACAAATTAATAAACTTGTTTCCACTATAATGTCTGTGAGCACAACTACACTTCGATATCCTTCTTACATGAACAATGATTTAGTTGGTTTAATTGCTCCATTAATTCCAACACCACGTTTACATTTTCTCATGACAGGGTATACCCCACTCACCACAGATCAAGAAGTAAGTGTTTAATTAATATAAAATAATAATTTGGTTTTTATTTATAAATTAAAAAATTCATTTATAAAATATTACAGTTTAAAGAAATATTTTGAAAAACGATTAAATTTTAAGTTTCAATTATTAAAATACAATTTGTTGTAATAAAACAGGGTGCTTCTGTAAGAAAAACTTCTGTATTGGATGTAATGAGACGTTTATTGCAACCAAAAAATATGATGGTTTCTACAGCATTGGATAGGAATGCGTCTCATTGTTATATATCTATCTTAAATATTATTCAAGTAAGTTTTATATAATTTGAGGTAGTAAAAATGTTCAAATAGTAACTAAAGTGTAAGTGCAATATTTCATAGGGAGAAGTAGACCCAACGCAAGTTCACAAATCATTACAAAGAATTAGGGAAAGAAAATTAGCACAGTTTATACCCTGGGGTCCTGCTAGTATACAAGTAGCTCTATCAAGAAAATCCCCTTATATACAAAGCACACACAGAGTATCTGGTTTAATGTTAGCTAATCATACTAACATATCATCAGTAAGTCATAACTATTATTTTATATTAAAAACACAAAATCACTTTTCCAAAATATTTATCTAAATAGAAAAAACAACATGTTTAACATACTCATTAATACATTTAACAAAATATTTCAGTTATTTGACCGTGCTTTACAACAATACGATAAATTACGGAAACGGGAAGCATTCTTGGAACAATTTCGTAAAGAAAAAATGTTTGAAGACAATTTAGACGAATTGGATAATTCTAGAGAAGTCGTTGAATATTTGGTAAAAGAATATCAAGCAGCTACGCGAGTCGATTATTTATCCTGGAATCCTAACAAAGCAGATGTATAAAATTCTTAATAAGATTATTCTATATATTAGTAATAGTCATCAGTTACCTAAGTTATAGTGCTTATGTCATTAACATAAGTTATTGTGTTTCATGACACTGAAATCATGTCGTTTGAATTTAATTTACCATATCTTAACACTTAATCAGTCTTTCGACTCTGAACTTAGATCTGTTTTTCGCGCGTAAAGAGGAGGTAATGTAGCAATTGTAATAAATCCTGTATGGCCAGGTAAAGAACGAGCATGCGTGACAGTAAGAAATTTTGTTTGTTCTTGCTTCTCATTGTTATTTTGTTGTGCCATATCATCATTGTCTGTGCGCTAAAATATTATTCAAAAATTCAGATTAGCATTATAAAGTTTTAATGTTATTTTAGAAATTAAAACTGAATGTATGCCATTTAATGCCATTATAATACTTATCATATTTTTATATGAAAATTAAATAAAATATAGTAAATAATATTTAAACATTTTCTTTTTTAATTATATTACTCTTGTATATTGTATATCATATAAATTTTACAAACCTCCTGTTTTAAACATTCTAAATCCAATATAGGGAGGGTTTTATATTGTACACTCAGTTCCCTTTGTAAACATTCATATGTTTGTAGTTCAATGAATCCATTTGATGTTAATTTTGCACAAGTTCTTTGAACTTGTTCAATACAAGGAGAAAAAGAACAAAGCTTTCCACCTAATAATAGAAATAAAATTTTTTAAATATCTTAAGTCAAGAAAAACATAAATATAATACAAACTCAAAAATAAATGACATTAAATATAATTTGTACCTGATTCTTTTAAAGCATATAATGCATGATCAATAGCTAACCATGGATGTGGAAGATCCAAAAAGATTGCATCTACTTTATTTTTTAATTGTTCTCCAAACCCATCAACACAAACATCTTTTTGATTTATAGTTACAAATTTGCTGAGACCATGTTTTTCAAATTCTGTCTGTGCAATATTTACACGATGTTCATGAAAATCAAATGTATAGAGATGACCGTAAGGACGAATTGCTCTAATAAGTGCATGTGAAAGAGAGCCACTTCCAGTACCTGAGCATAAGCAAGATACAAAAACAAAAAAATATTACATAATAATAATAATAAGTATAATTTAAAACTACATTATGTTCAACAATAAGATATTTGAATATGTTAGAAAATAATTGATAATAACATTTATTAAACCTGTTTCAATGATTATGCTTCCTGGTACTAAATTCATTAGATATATAATAAGACTGATGTCAGGACTATAGATAATTTGAGTTCTATGAGGAACTGTTAACGTCCAAAGTTCTGGTGTTGGTTGTAAAACATATCCCCATCCACGTGATAGTTGCACCTTTGTACCATATTTTTGTCCAATTAAAGAAAAAACTTTAAGTGCTCCATATATTGTTTGGAAAATATTATCAACCATTTCTCCATTTTTATTTACTATTTTTGTTTTTACTTCTAATGAATGCATGTTACTGGGTCCTAAATATAAAATTACTACGTCTCCTTCTTCAATAACCTCCTTTACTTTTTCGAAACTCATTCTGTTAAAAAAAGGTATTACTTTTTTAATAATACTTTGTAATATTCGTTGTTGTATTTTATGCTATTTTCTTGCCTTATGTAATGTATTTTATTGTCAATAATTATACAGATTTATTAATTCTCAGTGATATATAATGTACATAATTATTACAAAATTTTATGTAATAATTGGTATAAAAATTACATTTTATATAATTATAATTGTACAGTTTATAATATCATTCATATAATACTGTATTGTAATATTAAAGCAGAATTCAATATTGTGCACTTTTTTTAGGTTATGTTACCTTGCATAATATTTTATGTCACGAGGAGAGAACCGTGATAATTCGCGCAACTCGACTAACTTAGATAACCACCTCTTCCATTTGTACTATTCCACCATCATTTATTTTCCACTTCATTATTTATGTACACGGTAAACAAAAAAATATTACCAGAGGTAAGAGATGATAACATTGGGAATATATAAAATTTTTGCTTACCAGGTATATATATATTTTTCATTATAAATGTTGCAAACGCGTATGCGCGTCAGTTTAGTTACAAGCGATCAGAACCAATCAGAACTAACTTGCGCAGAATGAATGAAAATTTGGTGCTTAGTACTATTGTTCTTACGTGAAATAAAATATAAATTTTTTAGTTAAATAATGCAATTAATAAACAAATTATTATTTTATCATAATAAGAAATAACCATTTCTATGTTTTGTGTATCATCAATGGTACATATTAAACAATAGTTATTAAAATAAAATAATTCAATATTTTGATGATATCTAAATAATAATCATAACAGTAACTTTTGTATTATTTAACGTGTTAGTTATATCAATTGGAAATAGTATTATATAACCTATTGAGTTACGTGTTATTTTTTTTTAAATGAAGATCATTAGATCACGATAGTTAAAAATATCCGCTTATAAATGCAATTTAAAATGTAAATCAACAACAACCAACCCGAATTTCTGTCAAATGAAAACGTGACCTAGTAAAAGTGACATATTTGCAGAGATTCGTGACCCATGAGGCCACGAACAGGGCTTCTGAAAGTTTAAAAATAGTTAAATAGTTGGTAATGAAGTACCGAATAGCTTATCTTAAATTACAGCTCCGAAATTGTTTGTTTATAAATTTCTATTACTGAAAGAGAAAAGTGATTTACATATTTTAGTCACAATAATTTCGAAATATGGCTTCAAAAGTAACACTGTCCCAGGCTCTGGGTACAGATGGAAGTGACTTTAATCATAGACAAAAAATCGCTAGTCACTATCAAATCAGGTAATTAAGACAATATAAAAATACTGATCTTTGCTTTATATTAATTTTTTTTAATTAAAAATAACCAAATTCTAATCAACATGGTATTTCGAAAATAATTAAAAGTAAGTCTTGCACGTCTATCGTTTATTTATTATTAAGTTTAATATGTATTTATTTTAGTGCAACAAATAAATCAAGACTGAAATATTGCATATTTTTTCATTATCTTCTTTTCTTCGTTATGCTTGCCAAGTTATCAGCTGATATTTTAGATCATTTGGACATATTCATTTTAGAAATTGAAGAATTGCAAGTACCTCAGGTAAATTAAAAATATTTGTTTCCACATGTGCATAAATGTATATAAGTATAGTTGTATATTAGTTCATTTAAAATTAAAATATTTTTTCTGTTATTACAATTTAAGAGAAAAAATTTTTAGTGTAAGGGAAGATGAACTTTTTTAAATGTTATGTAAATATGATTATTAATTAATATTTTCTTCATGGTAGCCTCTTTGGTGGGAATACATCTGGTGCGCAAGTTTAATGTTAAGCTTCCTTGCACTATCTGCTATTAAAAGAAACAGAGTTAAAACATTACGGCAATATATGATAGGCATCATTTTATTAGGATATGGTCCATTGCTTTATGCAGTCATATACTATTTTAAAGACGTATGGAAATATTTAACTGTTGGAAAGTCAGATGAAATTCATTTCTGGCAGGTATGCATTCACATACAATATATAACAATTTCTGCTTAACATTGTATTATTAAAAAATAAGTGTGTAACATAAATATAGTATTAAAAATTTTCGAAATTTATAAGTATTAAATTTTTTAGGGCCTACCATATGGATTATTATGGTATGCATTTATTCTATTGGCTTCACAAGTACATACATTTTCTTTGTTTTTCTCTTGGAATCTATTAGTAGCATGGAAAACACGAGGAAGTAAAAAAGCAGATTAATTCAGCCACAAAGCTATAAAAAATTCATGCATATCTGTGAATATTGTCAATTACGTATATTTTTATTTGTAATAAACAAAGATACATATACATAATACTTGAAAGAAACTTGTAATTGTGAAAATGTCTCTGATAACATGTAAATATGTGTATATACATATATGTGTACTTGGTATATTATATAAATATACATACTTCAGTGAAATATGTAATATAAAACAAATATTTTCGTTTCTGTGAAACAAAAACTTTAATTATTTTTATTTTAAAAATAATTATTATTAAATTAATATTAAAAAGCCAATGAAATGTTAAAATTTGAATTGAAATACAGCGTACATTATTTCTTATTACACGACGTGTAAATTAGTATTTATATTTAAATAATGTGTCGAACTATGTGTTGCATTAATAAATACAAAATTAGATTAATTAAAACTCTTAGGTTTAAAAAATTTTTAACTATCAAATTTGAAGATTCAAAATTTGATTTACCTCATCTTGTTTTGCAATAGTACCTCCAGGATATGTTTTATCCCTATATTTCTAGTTTCATACTTATTTTATAAGGTTTTTTGAAGTGGCTAAATAAGCTCTTACGAGGCTCAAACGCCATCTTCCGAGGATGAAACTAAACTACTCATTTTGTACAAAATAAATTCCCTAGTATGACACTTTAATACATAGAGGGCCTATTGATCGTTTTCCATAGAATATACATGTACATACCTAGATATCACATTCGGCTGTATGGGACGTCGTGTCCTGTGATCATTCCTGTCCCGGACAACACAGTTTGTCTATTTTTTATCATATTTTTCTAAGCTGTGCGGTGAGTTCTATTTACTATACTAAATAGAAAATGAATTATCTTTCCAAGTTTATTAATATGTAATATAACGAATAATTAATACATGTGTAACAAAACTAGTTCACCGCAACTCTAAGTGAACAGTATCGGTATCCATTGTGATTATATAAATGATATAATGTCCAGAATAGTTTATAATAATCAGTTATGTTATATTAAAAATGAAATTGTACTGATATTGTTTGCTGTTTTTGTCTCCTAAACTACGCGTATATTAAGTTTTGAATAATAGAGTTAATAATGAAACATCAATGAGACAGACAAGTGCATCTTAATAAATACTGCAACAATTTCAGTTTATTTGTATTATAGAATATAATGGAATAAATTATTAATCGGTGAAAACGAAAAGTAAGATTATTTTTTAAATTAATAATATATTTAATACAAAATTTTATACGATTTATTGTTTTACATATTTAGTTTATAATTTCTTGAAATCATGTCTTACATAATTTATTTTATTTTTCAAATTCCGATCCACTATGTTGGTAAGTTATACTTATTGTTCAAGTATTGTTTATTAGTAATGATTAATATTTGTTTCAATTTTGTTTTGTAATAAGTTGAATATATTTTATTATAATTTAGATTAACATTATTGTAAATTGTTTTAAAGTAAAATATTATTGATTAGTATATCAAGATGTATATGTAAGTAAAATTTTAAAGTATAGCTTGAGAAATATAGATTAAGTATAAATTATATATAGTATAGTAGTACACATAATAGTTGAATTATTAACTACCAATATCTGTAAATAATTTTTCAAATATATAATATAAAAATTATTTATAAAAAAGACATGTAACTTGTATTTTATTTATTATTTCCATGTAATTCTGAAAAATAATTTAAATATAACAATTGATATTATTATTTAAGTGTTTAAGTATGTACAATGCATAAATTGAATATATATTTATGCATACCTATATTTAAAATAACTGATCATTGACTTTGAAATTGAATACAATTTGTAGAACAAGTTTGGTAAAAGTAATTTTAGTAAAAGATATATTTTTATATACTTTTTCAGGGATAATATTCAATTACAAAATGTTTTCAAATCATATGGGAACTATTGTACGACTTGCTGCTCAACAACAGCAGCAGCAGCAACAACAACGTGGTATGGCAACCCTTAAAGCTATCTCTATAAGATTGAAGTCTGTAAAAAATATTCAAAAAATCACACAATCAATGAAAATGGTGTCAGCTGCCAAATATAATAAAGCAGAACGTGATTTAAAACAAGCTCGTCCGCTTGGTGTTGGTACAAAAGAATTTTATGAACAAGCTGAAATTCAAGCACCACCAGAAGAACCAAAAAAGCTTGTGGTAGCAGTGACAAGCGATCGTGGGTTGTGTGGTGCTGTGCATACAGGAGTTTCTCGTAATATTAGAGATTCTCTCTTAGCAGATGCTACTGAACGTGAAAATACAAAAATTGTATGCATTGGAGAAAAATCAAGAGCAATTTTATCACGTTTATTTGCCAACAATATACTTTTTGTTGCATCTGAAGTTGGTCGTAAACCACCTACTTTTAATGATTCTGCCAAAGTTGCAAATGAAATTTTAAATAGTGGGTATGTATTCTATTTAGTACTATAAAAATCATTATAACCAATCATTTTTCTCCTATTTCGTAAAATATGACTTATAACAATGTTTACTATAATGTTTACAGATATACTTTTGGTTCTGGCCGAATTGTATACAATCGATTCAAATCTGTAGTATCATATTCTGTTGATCAACTACCGCTGTTTGATAAAAATGCTGTAGCCAGTGCACCTAAACTAACTGTATATGATTCTCTTGATGAAAGTGTAGTCCAAAGCTATTTAGAATTCTCTTTAGCTTCTTTATTGTTTTATTCTATGAAAGAAGGTGCCTGCAGTGAACAGTCTAGTCGTATGACAGCCATGGATAATGCTAGCAAGAATGCAGGAGAAATGATAGATAAATTGACTCTAACATTCAATCGTACTCGACAAGCCGTAATTACTAGGGAATTGATCGAAATTATTTCAGGTGCTGCTGCTTTGGACTAAATGATACATAAATACTAAAAAATGATTACACAATAGTGTTGGAAAGTAGATCATAAGGATATTATCGCGAAATTCAGTATGTACTCTGTGGTAAAAAAAGGAGGCAAGGCATGATCAGTTGCGAGCAACGATCAAATATTTCAAAATACAGCACTATTTATAAACTCAACCAGAAAATAAACTGTTTAAAATATTACAGAAACGTATTATTTGTTAAAATTGTAGTTACAACTACCAGACAAAAAATTTAATAATTCTGTTAACTTTTGTATTTGTTAACATAATAAAGTTGAAAAATATTTAATATATACATATAATAGAATGAATGGAAAAAATATGAAATACATTAAACAGTAAAATGTTCCTAATATCAACAATAGAAGGCTTTAGAGCATTTTATAATAAGTAAGGTATATCATTGCTTTCAAAATTTAGTTCCATTAGTTTCCACTTTCTACCGCTAGATGGCTAAGCATTTTTAGGTTCATAAAATCTAATTTAAGCGTAATGCCATGATTTTCAAGAAAGCCAAAATCCGATAATGGGGACCTCTGGTGGCGAACTGGGAAGCTATAGACAAGGATAGATAGATCCTTGTCTCTCCAACGTATCTTTCTTTTCACGAGGCGAGGCAAAATTCGTTTTCTGGCACGCGCGGCGAAACGATGGTGCCGTAGCAAGGTCGGCGGGCGCCCGCGGCATCGATTTTTAAAAAATTTTTATATGCGGATGTATGCACATGTAATTTTTTTTTGCAATTTTATGGAAATAAAAGAATATATTTTTAATAACCGTTTATGGTTGTTAGTTTGTTTTTTCAGCAAATTAGTCATTTTTTCACGTACAACTGATTCTAAATGTGGCTGCGATGGACGTTCGGCGCAGGATATGTGAATAATTTGTTTATTATTTAGTCTGAAATCATATATGCTAAACTGGTTCGAAGAAGATACCGTATCGCATGAAATATAAGATGTATATACATTTGCACGTTCCTCGGAAGAAATAACGCAGATATAAGACAAGAATCGATT